TGATGCTGGATGATGTCATGATGCTATGATTAAACACACCACAGATATTTACAAAGACAAACATGTAGGGCACACAAGGCACACAAGACAAGCCCTTAAGGTTTAAGGCCAGCATGGGGTCTGGGTAGTACCCTCTTGAAGTTGGTGGGTTCAACCTGTCCTAATCAAAGTAACCGGGTTCTAAGGTTCCCAATATCACGGGATTGCTTTCATTGTTCATCGTTTCGATTTAGCCACTGAACTGGCGACCGAAATATTCCAGGAAAGCAACCCTCAATTGGGTGTAGTATCGAGTATCAACCAACCTCGGACTGCACCAAAGTCAGTTATCTCACTACCCTAAAGAGGCCAAGATAGTTCAATTAAGGTTCCTAAGGTCTGTTGATGCTTCATGACACCACGCGGAGGCCCCGTACTCTCCTTGACTGAACTCAAGGGTTACCGGTACACACCAAAGTGCCACATCAACGTAGCAGACTGTTTCAACCATGTCGGTATACCCCGCACAGTTCCCTCACAGCCTTGTTGCTACTTTCTAAGAAAGGTATCCCCAGATCCGGGTTTAGGACCTATAGAACTCCCAAGCAACCCACAATAATAAAGCACACAAGGAAAACAATTGAAAACATAGTTATAAGCTAGCCCTAAGGTACACCTCACTTTAAGTTAAAATATCCCCAGCAGAGTCGCCAGTTCTGTGATCGGTGGATCTGGAACTGACTGTTTAACGCTGGTTCGCGAAATGTCGCGGAAGCAAGAGTCGCCACCGTCTTTTATTTTCTCCAAATGGAAAGGACAAAAGCACAGAAAAATTCCTTAAAGAGATTGCTCTCGGTTCGGGAGGTGGGTTATAGAAAGGGAAGGTGTTAGCACCCTTTCTATCCATGGTTATCCATGGGCTCTTAGATACTTGCTCAATATGTTTTTCAAAATTGTTTGTTTGCTTTTCAATGTGGGTTTAAAAAAGTTTCTTTGAAAAATTTCAGTTCGACTCGTACGTCAGAGTGTTTGAAAAGTTTGCTTTGAAAGCTTTTGAAAATGTGTTAGTGTGAAAAGTATTTTTGATTTGTTTTGAAATTTAGAGCAAGTATCTAGAGTCGTCTACCTACCCTAAGAAATTCGTCTGTGTAAATGTCCTTTAAAGTAGTGCCATCCCACCATTGAGAGGTAGGTAGCACCACCGTTGGAGGTGTTCGGGTCAATTCGAGTTTTAGGGACGTGGTGATCACCAGAGCAATGGGAAGACACCTTAGAAGCTACCCTCATGCCAGGTTCCCGGATCATGAGGACTTACTAAGACGTCCTCTACTCGACGATCACCTTTCGAAAGGCAACAGTGAGGCGTACCCTAGGGGTGGTGTGTGCGATTCGTGTGTCATGTTTCAGTTATTTGTCTTTTGTCATGTCATTGTGATCTACGCTTGATTTTAATTAAGACATTCATTCTTGCATGCTTTTTTTAACAGTTATAAAGTTGCGGGAAAATAAATCTACAGCTATTACAAACGGCGCGGGTCCACATCGCCAAAATAAACCGGACCCGATTTAGCGGAAAATAAATAAAGCGAATAAATAAAAGTGCGAAAAGCAAAGTTACATGGCTTTGGGAGATTTACATAATTAGAATGAACGATATAAAGTAAATGCGCAAATTAAATAAAAACAATGGGCGTTGGACCCTTTTGCAAAAAATTAAAGTTGATGAATTAATTGGAATTAAAGATTAAATGTGTTTTTTGGTATTTTATGTTTTTTAAGATTTAAGGAGAAAAAGAAAAATTAATTAAAATTAAAATGAGATGCTAAACCCTAGTTCTAATGTTTTTTAAGTTTATTGCAAAAATATTGAAATTTGACCTAATTTAAATCTAATTTATTTATATACATTTAATTATAAAAATAAAATAAATAAATAATTATTGCTGTGGAAAAAAGGGAAAAATAAAAAGAAAATAAACAGTTATTAAACCTAAATTCTATTTTTTTGGATTTTTATTAAAAAGATTAAAATTATACCCTAATTAAACTAAATAATTTACATTTTTATTTATTTATGAAAGTAATTAGAATTAATTATATTTTTTGTCTTTTCTGTATTTTTAATGTTTTTTTTTTATATTTTTGTGAAAATAAATTAATTGAATTAAACAAAGAAAATAAATGAAATAGCAAAAATAAAATATAAGGAGAAAAATAGAAAAATGCAAACTAGGGGGGGTAGCCCCAGATGGTGAGGTACATGCCTGGGGATTCTGGCCCAATTAGTTGTGAATCGTTGACTTTTCCAATCAGGTGTAATGCATTGACTGGCGTATGGTATGTTCTTTACACTGGAGCCATTGATCTGCATTCATTAGGCACGTGGACTTTTGGATCTTGAAACATATGGTGCGCCTCAATGCTTATGCTGCATGGGAAAGTGATGGGAAAAATAATATGAAGAATACACAGACCTGGGGCTCGAACCCAGGTCTTAGACGTTGCCAAGGAGTACACCTGCCACTGAAGCGCTTTGAACTCTTTTAATATATAATAACAATTAAACCATATAAGAGAAAAGCAAAGTTAGTGGAGGGAAGCGCGCCAGATTTTGAATTAACGAATTACAGCGTGCCACATCTTCATCTTCTTTCTTTTTTTTTCTGAAACACAGCCTATGGAAACGGTTTTCTGGGCGTGGTCTTAGGCAGGTTTAGAAGAAATAGCGATTAGCTCATCTTTGAGCATAAATTCAGCGCGACTATCTCAATTTCTTCGTCCAGAGATACTGATTGCAATGGTGGTACTGGGGTGGCCTGATTTTGCCTCTAGTAAGAATCCCTAATTCGAGCTCCTGAAAACCCTAAAAAGGAAACATGGCAATATCTTGTATACAGCATGAAAATCCAATTAAATATAGTGGTTAGCTTTGAAACTTTGTAAGGAACATGAATATACGATTAAACTTCAAAGAAGATGCTTAGAACATGATATGCGTTTAAGAATTTTTTGCTGTACAGTCAACGGTCTCGTTACCAATTCTTGGGGTCTGAGTTGATGCTAATGATTGGAATGTGTCCAGCAATTGCCACTGAAGCCTTTGGAATAGGTTTGGAGGCTTGAATCGACCTCTAGCACTGATTTCAGATTTTAGTTTTTCAAGCAATTTTCAAGCTTTCAATATTGGTTTTCTGCGCAGCTTCCAGTCCACTTTGATTAGGTTTACATTCCTGTATATGTAAGGAAGCAATTAGGTTGGAAAAATTGATCCAAATCCAAGGCATTCATTGTTTTCAATATTTGATTTCCTTAATATCTTTTTGAATCTTTTTTCATGGTTTTTGTGTCAATTAGGTTTCAATTAAGCCAAAACCTTCTATATTAGCATGTGCACGAAATATTAAGTTCAAATCATGCATAAAAAGATTTGTTTTTATTAGGTTTGTATTTTTCATGCAATTTATTTAATTAAATGAATTATAAATGATAAAAAATCCAAATAAATAAATAAAAATGGAGAAAAACTTCCTTTTGGGCCTAATGGTCGTGCATAGGCTTGGCATGAAGAAACTTGGAAGAAAAATGGGCCCATTTGCATTTTTAGGTCATTTGAACCATTGTTGACTTTTCAAAATTCCCAAAAATTTCCCAACTTCCACAAGGCATAACTTGCTCAATTTTTAAGCTTTTCACATGTTCTTGGACATTTTGGAAAGGTCTTTGAGTCCTCTAACCAATGCCTTTGGTCCCATGTCATTTTGATTTACCAATCTCAAGTTATGGCCTTTGACTTAAAGTCCCTTTTTGTTGACTTTTGAAAATGACCTATAATGTTGAAATTGATAACTTTTTGTGAGAGCATTTCTTGGACTTGGAATATGAAGATGAGTTGTAGGAAATGTCTTTCTCTTCAAAATGAGCTTTGGATGGGATTTTTCTGATAATCCATGTGAAAGTTATGCCCTGGTCAATTTCAGTTGACTTTTTCAACTGTCCAAATATAGCAACTTTTGCATCTTTTGATGATTTCTGAGCCAAATTTTGAGAATCATGATCAAGAATTGATCAAATGGTGTTTGTGGCTTCAAAATGATATATTGACCAAAAATTTGAACTTTTGACTGTCAAATGACCATTTTGCCCCTACAGTTGACTGTAGTGCAATCTAGGGTTTTGACTGTGCAATTTTGAGCTGAATGCCTTGAAACTTGATATGAGGATGCTTGACCACATTTGTAGGCATATGAGACTTGATTGGGCCCTTGAAAACTTCATCTTCTTGATCAGAACCCAAACCCTAGTTTTGACTGTATAGGAGACAGTTGCACTGCACAACCCTTGGGGAATTTTGTGACTTGGCTTAGCAATTTCTTGAAGAATATGGGAGGGCAAATTTTGGGGTGCAACAACAGGGTATAATGTGGGAAATGAGGCTGGGGGATCAATTTCTCACCTTCAGTTTGCAGATGATACTTTGTTGATGGGGGTGAAGAGTTGGGCTAATGTGATGGCTCTCAAAGTAGTTTTGTTATTGTTTCAATCCATATCAGGTTTAAAGGTGAATTTTCATAAGAGTATGTTGGTGGGTGTTAATATTCATAGTTCTTGGTTACAAGAGGCATCTATGGTGTTAAATTGTAAGACTGGTGTTATCCCGTTTGTGTATTTGGGGATGCCCATTGGTGGTAATCCTCAAAAGTTGAACTTTTGGCAAACGGTGTTAGATATCATTATCGGGTTGGAAATGCCATAATCTTTCTTTGGGAGATCGTTTGATTTTATTGAAATTTGTCTTGTTCGCTATCTCGATTTACTTTTTATCCTTCTTCAAAGCTCTCGCAAGTATTATTTCTTCTCTTGAATATTTATTTAATATGTTCTTTTGGGGAGGACCAGAGGGGAAGAGGAAGATAGTGTGGTTTGATTAGGATACTATTTGTTTAAGTAAGAAGAATGGTGGGTTAGGAGTGAGAAAGTTAAGGTAGTTTAATAAGGCTTTATTGAGGAAATGGTGTTGAAGGATGTTGGAGGAGAGGGGTAGTTTGTGGTATAGGGTGTTGGTATGGAGAAAATGGGGGGGGGGGGGGGGAGAGTTGAAAATAGGGGCAGCAGGGGGCTCTGTGTGGTGGCATAGTGCAGATAGAATTTGTCAAGGGCTGGGATCGAATGTTAGTGGGTGGATGCATGATAATAATAAGTGAGTAGTTGGTAATGGTGTGAACACTTTGTTTTGGAGGGATCCTTGGTTGGATGGAGGTGTGTTGAGGGATAGATTTCAGAGCATTTTTGACTTGTCAGAGTATAAGGAAGCAATAGTAGCTCATATGTTTAATTTAGGGTGGGGAGTGGGAGGAGAGACATGGTGTTGGCGGAGGATGTTGTTTGCGTGGGAGGAAGAGTTGGTGGGGGAATGGATTCGGGTGTTAGAGACAGTGGATTTGCAGGAGGTGGTGGAAGATTCATGGGTTTGGCGTCTCCACTCTTCAAATTATTATAATGTTAGCAGTGTTTATTAGTTTCTGACAAAGACGGGGGATGTTTAGGTGTTTGGTGGGTCTCAGGTTTGGTGGTCTAAAGCGGTGCCTCTCAAGGTAAATTTTTTTATTTGACGGTTATATCGTAATTGATTATCGGCTAAGGATAATTTGGTTAGGTGTAATATTTTATCAGTTGAGAATCAGACTTGTCATAATGATTGCACTCGGATCTAGAATAAGGATCATATTTTTGTCTGATGTCATCATTTTGGTAGAGTTTGGTAGATGCTTGCTGGGTGGCTAGGTTTCACGTCGGTCTTTCAGGGCCAATGCAGGGATCATCATGATCATTTTGTTGCTTTGGCGGGGGGAGGGGGGTGTTAAGAATTATCGTATTGTTTTGCATGTCATTTAGCAGCTGTGTGGGTTAATTGGAAAGCTCGGAATCAGCTGATTTTTCAAAATTTGAGCTTGTCGGTTATGAAAATTGTTGAAAAGGCTAAGTTACAATCGTATTGGTGGTTGAAATCTTATTTTGTGAGTTTCGGGGTTAGTTATCATATTTGGAGGAGAAATCCTATGTAATATATTTCCATTAGTTTCACTTAGTGTGTCGTGTTGTTGGGTTTTTTTTTGTTCTTTGCGTGTTTCAAAATATATTGGTGTTTTAATTTCTTTTCATAGTCTTTCAAGTACGTCTTGTACTTGAAGGATTTTTTATTGTAATATATTTTTTTAGCTTCTTAAAAAAAATATTTCTTTTAGAATTAAAAATACTATTGACCCTTTTTTATGTCATTCATGAAAATAGATATTTATTTCAAATTCAAACAACTTTGATTTCTTTCATATATTTTTTGTATTCAAAATTGATTGTGTCGACAAAAGATTTATCTTTAAAGATCTAAAAATATTTTTTTGTCTCTTTTTTACTTTTCTAAATTGAAAATTAACGGCTGGTCTATTTTTTAATAACATGTAACTCATTTTTTATCATTAAAGTTTTTCCAAAAAGTTTATATGATGATTTGTCATGTTTCATAAGTGACACATCATTTAAAAATAAATATATCATCTGTTTTAAATGCAAAAATATATGAAAGAGATCATGATTTCGAAAAGGAATTCGACTCAGTTTCATGGGATTATCTGTTATATATCCTTAAATGTATGAAATTTGGAACAAAATAGATTAAGTGGATAAAAGCTCGTGTTTGTTCCAGCTTTCAGTCATGATAAACATAAGTCTATTAATGGATTTTCAAGCAAGAGAGGGCTCTGTCAAGGGGGGCCTCTTTCCCCCTTCTTCTTCATCCTTGCAACATAAGGTTTGACAAGATTATTGCAGAATGTCTGTTCAAGTCTTAGTTTTCATCCGTTCAAGTTATCTCATAATCTATAATTCGACATACTTTAACTTGTTAATGATATGCGGATAATGGGTTAAGCCTCTTAGGAGAATATATGGACCATTAAAGTTGTTCTTTGTAGATTTGAATTGGCTTCAAGTTTAAGCGTAAACTTCCACAAGAGTAAAATCATGGGTTTCAATGTGGATTTTGATTTCTTAAAGTTTCTTTCTAACCTTTTAGATTGTGCAATCAACCTTTTTTTCCATTATCTTTTCTAGGAATTTCAATTGGCGTAAATCCATGAAGGTACTCATCTTGGGAACCAGCTATTTCAAAGCTAAGAAACATGTTATATTCATCGAAAGGTAAATTTGTCTCTCTTGGAGGTCAAATAACTTTCTTAAATCAGTCAAGAACTCAATTCTACTCTACTTCTTTTCACTCTATAAAGCCCTAAAGGTAGATGTTTAGGAAATTATTTGAATGCAAAGAGATTTTCTTTGGAACAGAGAAGAGAAACAAAGGAGAATTAACAGGGTATCATGGTCTACAATTTGTAAATTTAAAAGTGAAGGGGGCCTATGAGTAAAGCGCTATGGATTTTTCAACTTGGCACTCTTAAGTAAGTGGGCCTAGAAAATTTTGTCATACGAAAGTTCGTCTCAGTATCCTCTTTTATCCTTTAAATACAGAGACATTAAATACCTATTCTTAATCCTTCTTGGGCTATTAATTCTAGGAAATCATACATATGGTGGAGGGATCTTAGGATTTCCTTGGTGTCCTTTGGAAATGAACCAAATTGGTTCGGTAACTGTATTTCCTGCATGTTAGGGAATGGCTCGGTAATCAATTTCTAGAGGAACAAGTGATTATGGTTTAGATCCTTGAGAGAGTAGTGTCCTAAATTATTTTATTTAGTGCGTAGTTCCAGACCTAAAGTCATGGAATCAGGAAAGTGGATTGATGGAGTCTTAAAGTGGTCTATAAATATTAATCTGGATTTGCTTATGGGATCAGTAAGGCCTTATTAGAAAGATCTTCTTCTGAATATGGTTAACGTTACTCCCAAACTGGATCATGCTAATAAATTTGTTTGGTAGTGTGATTCAGTTGACTTTTCTGTATTAGATCAGTGGTTTCCAGTTTGGTCACTTTATCACGCATGTTTATGATCACATCTAGATCGAGATCTTTCCTCTGTATTGAAGGTTGTTTGGAAAACAAATGTTCTGAACAATATCCAATTTTTTTGCTTAGAGATTATTGATTGGCATGCTTCAAGTGAGAGATGGATTTGAAAAATGAGGGGTGCTTTCAGAAGTGCATAACCTTGTTTGTCCTTGCTTAGGGCCAGCAGAACCACATGTACATCTCTTTCTTGTTTTCTCTGTATCTGTATGGTCCCAAATTTTGGATTGAGTTGGTATTTGCGGGTTAGCCCCTTTTGCGTCTATTTTGTATCATTTGTTGGCCTTTGAAGCTTCTTTGAAAGGACACACTAATAAGAAGGTTTGATTACTATTATGGTTAACAATTATTTGTTCTATTTGGTTGATTAGAAATGAAATTTTATTTAAGGGAGAACATAAGGAATAAGAGAAATTGTTTCTTTGTATAAATCACTTTCGTGTGATTGGTTTAGATCAAGATCTAAGGATAGCTTGATTTATAGTATGAAAGTTTGACTTTTAAATTCTTTGATGTGTATTCGTTAACTTAGTTACATTTATGTTTTGTAACTATTATTTCCTTTGTATTGGATTGAATATCCCTTCTATTCAATTTTAATAAAATTATTTGACTTATAAAAAATAGTGTTTCAATCTATAATATAAGAAAGAAACATGTTCTAAAAAAAATCCAACAATGCCCTTGCCTTGCAATCTGCCACATCATTGATTTTGAGGTATTATTTGTATTTTTTTCTACCTTTTCCAACTATGTTTCCCATTCAACTTCTCATTACATTGTTTTTCACAACTTGCAACATTTTCTTTCTTGGCTTTCCAACTTAAACATCAATTTGAAATTCTAAACTAACTCTTTGTCAAATCAATCACCTAAATTTCTATTACTCACATTCAATTTAAGTTTTCAAAATTTTCAATTATGTCCTTTCCATTTTAAATTTTCTTTCTATTTAACTTCTCTTCTCCTCCTTTTTTTCATTCATTTTTTTTTTATATCACCATCAACTAACATATGTAACATTTACTTCTCTTTTCCTCATTTTTTAAATTCATTTCTATTTTCATACACCTTCATCTCTATGATCTCTAAAATTTCTTTTACAGGTACCTAAAAGAACAAGAATAACAATAACATATGTGAGTAAACAAAACTATTTCTATATATTCGTGATTCTTTTAATTTTTCTTTCTAGTTTAACTTCTGATTTTGGCATTCACAGAATATTTTTATTTAGTTCTTTTTCAACTAAAAATATACACTAACAAAATATATATATAAGTTAAAAACAAACCTGTTATACTTTTCTAAAAGTTGTTATTTTTAAAAGATTTAAGTGGAAGTGGTTGTGGTAAATTTTGAGGGTGAAGATAAGTTGTGTGTAGTTATTATAGTTCTGTTGACCAAACCAACAAATCTATAAAAAAACTAATTCTTCAAATCTTAAAGATTAAGATAAACCTAATTATTTTTTTACAAGTACATTAATTAGATCTCGAAAAACTTCAATTATTTGTATTTATTTAGAAATAGATACAAAATACATGAGAAAATTAAAAAAAAAAAATAGAAAAAATAAAAACATAAGCACATCTACTTGGATTTTAATCTTCTGGAGATATTTTATCAAATCTCTTCAAAACCTGAAATTAAAACAATTGAATTGAGAAAGCTAAACAAAATTAATGTAAAAAAAATTGATATCCATATCACCAAAATAATTGATTCAAAAAGGTGTGTTCGAACCAATTTTATTCATTTTTTCTTCATTCCAAATCACATAACTGTGTATATATAAAAAGAAGATAATTGAGAGATGAGATGTATATCTTTTGTCCATACAGAGTTTAAAATAGAGGAAGAAAGTTATAATGTTTATAGAAAATTTAGAGCATGGAAAATAATTTAAGTTTGACATTAGAAAGGAAGATGAAGAAAAGAAGGAAGGAAAAGAAAATTTGTGCAAGAATTTTAAGAAAATGTGTTGTCGTATTTTGTTTTTTTACCATAAGATGTGATTGTGTAATTAGGGTTATAATTTGAATCATGAATTGGGCCTAACATTTAGTTATAGCATATCATTATTATTTTGTTATGGTCCATCATTATTTTATTTTAAAAATAACTTTCTCTTTTATTTTATACTTCACGAGTGGTTTAAAAAATTTGTTTGTTCGCGAATTGCAAATTTATTTTTAGAAATACAGGTTAAATTTTTTTTCTAAATTATGTTTATGCTTAAGAACTTTTTATTTTTAGGAATCTTATATTCTTATAGAATAAGAAGTAATCATTCGTAACTTCTCACTCTTAAATATTTTAGTTTATTTATTTTATATTTTAAAATTTAAATTAATTTTAAAAATATTTCAAACATATAGGTAGGAATAAATTTCCAAAAATAACATTCTTAAAAATAATATTCCAAAAATTATATTTTAATCTTCGAAACAAACATACCCTTACCCTTATATAAATTAATGCAAAATATTTCTTTTATGATTTTATTTAAATTTTAAGATTAAAATTGGCCTATAACTTTTATTTTATTTTTTTTAATTTTTATTGAAGTAAATAGTTAGTGTGTTGTGTTCAAATTTAAAATCTGACAAAAGAAAAATAAATAATATTATAAAATTAAAATAAAACAATTAAGAATATAACTAATATTAGCATATAATTCTATTCTAATATATTAATTATTTCATATTAATATATTAAAGTCTCTTTATTCTGAAATAATTATGAAAAAATATGTAAATATACTTTAGTAGGAATACATGTCAGAATATTGTACCATGCGATATGTTATAATTTGTTAACGTATACGAACTTTTATTAATATGTTATGTTTGATAAATAATAAATTTAATTAGCTTATAATTCTATAAAATATTAATTTTTTCAATTTTAAATTTTTATTGTTATTAATATTTTTGATGATGTTGATCAATTATATATAAAACGAATTTTAAATAAATCATAACTTATCATTTCTTGTAAAATATTTTTTTCAGTATATTAACCTCAAATTTATTTTAGTTTCGTAACTTAAAAATAGTTTATATTGGTCTCTTAATTTTTCAAATATTTTATTTTTGTCTTTTTTATCTAATGAGTGACGAATTTAGCGATCGATTTTTGAGTTTTTCCATCGTTAATTAGACAAAAAAAATTAAAATAAAACGTTTGAAGAGTTAAGGGACTAATATGAATCCTTTTTTAAATTAAGGGGCCAAAATGAATCTTGAGATTAACATACAAGACCAAAAATAATATTTCGTCTTTTTTAAAAATCCAAATTAAAATAATTATTTTTATTCACATTTTCCCTATAAATGATTCAATATAAATATTTGAAATTTCAAACTAAATTTCAAAATTCCATGTTTGCTTGAAGTTTTAATAGCTACTTAGAAAAATTATATTTATATTTTAATAAATTTTGTTTTCTTTTAATATGGAAATTATATCAATTGGAGAAAATAAAACTACTCATTAAAATATTAAATAATAATAGAAACAAGTTTACTATCAATTCAAATATTTTTATAAAAAATATCAAAACAAAAATAATATTTATATCCGAAAAAAATATGTTGTTGATTCATGTATTTTATATACGGAAAAAATGACAGGCCCCGATTTATTATCTTTTTTAAAAATAATAAATAATTTTAGTTAAGCAATTTTCACTTTTTTTCATTTTATTTTTATTATATTTTGAAAACAAATGAATATTTTACTAGTTTGAAATAAGAGGATAATTTCCGTGAAGAAAGTAAAATTAAAAGAGAAAAACTATAAGTTAGCCTAATTATCACAAACATCATAGTCATTTGTCAAGTAAATAACAAATTAATTAGAAATATAACTAACTTGTTACACAAGCAACTCGACTAGTTAACAATGGAAGCTATAATTTGTTAGAGACTATGTTGGTGTAAATTAGTTTCACCATAACTAATGTGTTCCTTGCTACATAAGCTTCTTTGTAACACTCTTTTTAATTCAAGGAAGAATTTATTTTTCCATAACATGCTATCAAGAGCACTAGCATGAAGATCTTGATTTTCTACATTCATTTTTCCAGTTTCAGTTTGAAACTTTATTGTTCTTAAATATTCTTCATAATTATTTTTCTTTCGATCAATTACACTTCTATTATCCAACACAACATTTGTTCTACTTTACACTTGGGTGTATTGGTTGCAGATTGATTCCAATATTCTCACCAATTCTTATGATGGAAAGAATAGTTATGGCCGAGGTAGAGGTTCTAATTATGGAGGCAATATAAGGAGTAATTCAAGGTCTATACTCAATTTAAAAGATATGGTTACACAAGTGAGTTTTTCTATTAGAAACATGACCATCCTCATATTAATAAGCCTTCACCACTGCCAATGTTTCAAATAGAAATGTTCAAGATTATTACCAACAATCAAGTAACTTGTCTTACACAAGTTATCAAGATCATAATGTTTCTAGTCTAACTCAAGAGAAATATGACCAACTTTTATGCTTTCTCCAACGAGCATATTTGATATCTTCAGCTAATCACGAACTTAGTTCAACCTCCAATCAACTTACTACATCCATTTCTACTCATTTCGATTTTTCATCATATGAGAAACACTCCTCATATATTCCTATTGTCATTACTTACTCTAAAAGTAACAATTCAAATTTACGACTTCTTGATTCAAGATCAAATGATCACATATGTTTTTCTTAGCATTTTGAGTCATTTTTATTACAATAGGCCTATTAAAGGTCATTTACTAAATGGTAACTCAATTTAGGTCAATTATGCTTGTAATATTTAGGTCAATTATGCTTGTAATGTGCAATTTTCCTAACTTTATATATCATTAATGTCTTATGTTCACAAGATTTTTTATTGAATTTGATATCACTTTTCAAACTGTATCAATCTTTTTTTAGAATGTATATTTCAATTCACTAATAATTAGTGTCATATATAGGATATAAAGTCCTTGAAGATGATTGGTTTGACTGAACAAATAAATGGATTATATTAAGTAAAGAATCCAGATTCCCATAAAAACTAAAGAGTGTAAACACTTTAGATACATCTCATTGTAATTTTTCAATTCCCATGTTATATATTTGATATTTTATATTAGATTATTTATCTATCTATACAATGTTTCATATGCCACATTTGTATCCATCCATTATATGTGAAAAACCAACTGTTTGTGACATATGCTTTTTTCCTAAACAAAATAAAATGCTTTTCAAAATCACTACTTCTCATGCTAAATCAAAATATGAACTATTATATTTTGATATTTTGGGGGTTCGCTATTACCCCAATATGTTGATGGACATAAATATATCCTTATCATCCTAGATGACTATAGTAGATTTACTTGGATAATCCTTTTAAAATCCAATTCTGGAGTATCAAATCATGTGTAAACCTTTATACGACATGACTGAAAACAAACACAAAGCTAAATCTAAAATGTTAGGATTCATCATCAAAGATCGTGTGTTAAAGGCTTAACCTTTCTAAAATATTTGGCTAGATTGCACGAGAAGGCCAAACTTACGGACTCTTTGCAAGAGGATGCGAAGACTTATGGCTCTCCCTCTACCCTTGCTTCCCGGGTAACTAAGCTGGAGGTCGCTCTTGTAGCGGAGGAGAAATGGTGTTAGGATGCCTCTGACGCTGGTAGTGAGATAACCCGCCATGCAGAGGAGGATCAGAAAAATATTCATCACGAGGCCAAGGCTAATGTCAAGACCCTAAACACTATTGAAGATGATGTTGTCGGTCTAAAGGTGACTCTCCATAGTTCCCTTCAATGGACTATGCAATCTATGTATGAGGTCCACGATCAGGTCATGGAACACGTAATGAGGTTCTGCCTCACTACTCCAATTCTCGTTGAATACCTAAGCCCATTCCAAGCTACTCTCGAGGGGGATCTAGAGGGAGATCCTGGTACTACAGCTCCAGGTGCTTTCTTATGACTGCTCATCTTCTTCCTTGTATTGTTTCCTCTTTTTTTTCCTATAATGTTTCTTAGGTTTTATGCCTTGGGTGTAATAACAATTAATATTTATGAAAATTTATTTACCTCAGTGAGTCGTGCATTCTTTTAACTTTGAGTTCTATATTTAGATCCATTTATTTATTGTTATGCTGTAATTTTGGTTGTTTATGAGTTGTTGTGTCACCAGAATTAACTTGTTGTCCCTGCAATGTAAAGTTTATTTGCTTCAGGGGAAAACTGATGTTCGCTGATGAACTTCAAGTTTGTGTCGTTGCAGTTGCAAAATATTGTCTTCTTTGGGTGTGAGAGCCCTTATGGCTTACCTTCAGGAGTAAAAGAGGTGCCCTGATATGTTGAATTACTTGATGTGATTTTTGAACTTTCCTGACAGTGGTCTTTTGTAGTTCATGGTTTGGCGCATTAAATACTATTTGCTTCCATGGTCGGTTGCTATATTTGTTCGTTGTAAATAGAATACACTGCTTTAGTTTGTGTTTGTTTGTTGAATTTAGCATTTACCGAATAAATGTATATTTGTTTGTTGTATTTAACATACACTCTATTAGCGTGTATCCCTGTTGTGGGTTCTGGATCTGGAAATATGGTCTCGTTATTATGATATTCTTCGCATTACAAAATATTGTTCCCTAGCCAAGGGTAGGATCCTCGTCCCTGCCCTCGGGGTATGACTTAGATTGAGGTGGACGTCTCCGGGATCCACCACCCAACACCTTTGGATTGGCTTGATCCGAGGGGGTGCACCACCTATGTTAAGGATAGTTCTCCTTAGTCATGAAACTTGTCTTAAAAGACTGACTCACGTCATCCTGTAGGGAACACATAATATTCTTTGTGATTGTAGCATGTAAAAATTAAGATATTGATTATCGAAATTATGTACCGGTTTTACAGAGTATCTAACTAATAAAAGTAAATGTAAGGATACAATGTCATGTATTATTTCATATAGGGCTGATTTTAGTCCCGTGCAACTTGGTCCGTCGCATAGGGCTTCCAAAAAATCGGGGCCCCAAATTTTAGCCGATGAGGCTAAAAAGTATATAATTAATATCGCTATTATTAAATTTTGTTTAAAATACTTACCAAGTAAATCAGCTAGCATAACAGATGAGGCTCAGTCTGTGATGATGTGGTCTAGAGTAGGGGTGTACATGGGTTAGGTCAACCCACAAAACCCGGTTAAACTCACCCAAAGAAATCCAAAAAATTGGGTTGGGAAATTGGGTGAATATGGGTTTAAAATCTTAAAAACCCATTAAAAAATTCGAGTTTCGGGTAAAATCGGACGCAAACCCAAAAAAAACCCATTGACCCACTAATCAAATATTTATTATTACAATTTTAATGATTTCGGTGAATATTTATTTATTTGTTGTGTTTGTTTGGTTTCTAGATCCATAATAATTGGTATATCTTTTCGATGTTGTCAAAGAGGGAGAAAGTTATGATTGTCTAGAACTGCTTTATGAATTTTATGCTATAGTTTTTGTGCAATGTTTTAGGGAGCACAAGAACTTAGATTTTTCCTCAAAGTCGACTCAATTACAAGTGATAGATTGTCAATCATCAAAAAGGGGGAGAATATAGTCGCACATCCCTAGGGGGAGACTGTTGCGTGTTCCTATCATATGCAGGGGGGAGCATCCTCAATACGGTTATTTGTTGCTTGTCTTATCATTTTCATTTATTATCTTTTATTGAGTCTTAATCATGATTGGATATCTTTTGAGTCAAGTATGAAATTGATTTGTTATTTTTTTAGCATGCATAAAACAATGGTTACGTTTGAATTTGATCAATATGTTTTTAGTCAATTGCATGAGGTTATGGAATAAAAGCTATATGTGTTTGATTCAAGTTAGGTGCAAAGAAAAATCTCAAAGTACATTTAAAATCATGAAAAATTGAGTTATTAAGTGTTCGACTCAAATCATTCAAATACACACTCAATTTGATTCGAATCAAATCCAACAGGGGGCGAACAATTTTTTTTCAAAACAATTTAATTTGAATCGGGTTTAGTACATGATTCAAATTAAGTAATTTATTGTTACCTCTGCTCAATTTAATTCAAATCACACTTTGTTCATGATTCGAATCATACAGTTTTTCAGAATTTTTCTTAAGGGCCTGAAGCACTTAATTCAAATCACATTTTGTACATGATTCAAATCATGTGGTCTGTAAAAAGAATTATACTTTGTGCTTGATTAGAATCAAGTGAAAAATGGGTCAAAAATCCGAACTGTTTTTATTCCATTCACTTGATCATTTGACAAAATCCATGCATTGTTCTTGATTTGAATCTAACCAACTTTTACCACTCATTTTTGTGCTTAAAGTTAAGCACATATAAAACCTTTAGTCAATACTTTTTCATAAGTGGAATTTGACCAGTGGTTTTTACACAATTATTTATCAATGATTCCAGTTATCTTTTCTTTTGATTGTCGAGTGTTTTATTTCATTTTACCATATTTTTTATGTTGGTTGCATGTTTTACTATTTTTAGGCTCAAAGTAATAAATCGGGACAATTCAGGGCAGAAAAGTGCAAAAACTTGGAGTTTCGGAAAGTAATTATATCTTGAATAAATATTCTTTTGTTGTGCATTTTTCAAAATTAATTATTTTTGTCCCTTAAAATAAGTTTTCTCAAGTGTTTTTAAGCTTAGGGTGTCAAAAACATGAACTAACGGTGTTAAGAAAGCAACAAGGCCCAAACAAATCAAAGCATCAAGGAGGCTCGATCAAGGAAATTTAATCGATTGACAAGAAGTGTTAATCGCTTAAATATGGTCAAAGTGATGAGTTTCAAATCCAATCCAAGTCAGCTTGATGCACAACAAAGAACAAATCTAAGCATTAATATAGATCATATTAAAAGCTGAAAGATTGGGATATTTAACCTATTTAATCAATTTGTTAGAAGACCCATATATAGCGATTATGGATCTAATTTTTGGAGAACATGATCCGCTCATTAAAATATTTTGACTCACACGCTCAAAAAGCCCAGAAGGTATCGCTATAAATAGGTATTGCATCCTAACCTTCTTTTGCATCTCATATTTCCTCATTCCTTCAACATCACTCTCCTTACTTGATCTATCATGAAGTCCCCAAACCAAAAACCCAAAATACCCCAATAAAAGAGATAGCATATTTGCCTCCATAAGAGACAAGTTTGAGGAAGACAAAAAGATGATCCTTGGGAAAAGAATACTAGAACCATCGTATATGTAAGAAAACTTCCTGAGAAGCTACAAACCTTATTCTCACATTTGTCAAGCCTCCCTAAGAGAATTCTTCACAAAAACTCCCGAAAAGGTATACTCATACCTAGTGGGAGAATTCTACATCAACCTTGTCCTTGTAGGGAAAACCTTAATAACAACAGTTAAAGGAGTAAAGATAATAATTCAAAAAGAAAGATTCGGAAGAATATTAGAAATACACTTTGAAGGAACCACTCACAAACTAGGAAAACCCTCAAGTCTCAAAAACTTCTAACGAAATGTAGCCATAAACTCTCCAGTATCAAACATGGAAGAAAGAAAACTCCCATTTAAGACATGCCTTCTAAAACCCAAAGTCAAAATCCTCCATTATCTTCTAACGAGGATCTTGCTCCCAAGAAACACAAACAACGACTATGTCATCAAAGATTATATTATTCCCTTATGTCTTTTAACATAAAACAATACCAACAAATTGGGTAGAAGGAGTACTCTCTCACATGACCAAAACTAGAGAGGAACCATCAACAAATCCGTCGTATAAAGCAATGATCACAACCACTCTAAGAGTTTTCAAAGTTGGCCTCTTAGGAGAAAAGTCAAGCTCATACAACAACATTATTAACTACATCAACCTTCAACAGTTAAAATAGACATCAAACTCTCAGAAGTTATAAATGATTGGATAAATGAAGAAGAAGAAGAAGAGGAGGAGGAGATTAAAATCATAAACCTAGGAAAAATATAACTAAAAATTTGGAAGAAATTAAGTCAAAAATAGGATGAATAGGACTTAGAATTATATTTCTTGATGCTTTTTGTAATTTCTTCTTTCTTGCATTTATTTTGGTTTCTGTAATGCATTTTTTTTCCAATTAATAAACAACTATAATACCTTTATTTGCCTAATATAGTTTCTTTACAAAAAAATAATAATGGATATGCTTAAAATATAGAATAAATTATGCGTACAACCTTGTTTTTTCCTTAAATATCCTTGTAAGACACATCATTAGATATCTCGCAAAAAACTTGGGTCACACACTTAAAAGTAAAGATATTATCTCCCATCAAGTGTGACACTTTCTATGCCATGATTTGAACACTCTTACTAGGAACACCTTAATATAAAAAGCTTATACACATTTTAGGGAACCTTATATGCATATATGTCTCATCTAGAGTAATATTTCCTATGCCAGACACATGCTTCATCCTTGTGTCATATTATCTGTCATGTTGTTTACCCATGGATTTGGTAAACAACGCTGGTCTCTTGAAAACAAGTTTACTTGTGAGATCGACCAGGGAATCTCAGAGCAGTGCTCCAGTTCGCGTGCATAGTTAAAGTGTTTTCAAAAAGGGTGTGTTCGACTAGGAGCCAAACGTATTCAAATTGAAAAATATAAGGACAAAAAGACGAAGTAAAGGAAACAAAAAAGTGTTTTAAGTTGTAAAAGATAATGACATAACATTAAATAAAGTTGTAAAATAGGTTGGTTCAAACATACATTGCCTTTTCCTGGCTCATTTTGCTCATTTTCTTGGTTAATTTGAGTAACTAGCGTGCAGGAATGTGAAAAGTTTGACCTCTTACAAAAGTGCACTAAGTTCTTTATTTATAATACACAGAAATAACTACTTTCTAAGTGAGCTTTGTTTTCTTGCATTCCATGTGTCCTTCGTAACTTCCCCTCACGAACCCACATTCTCTATTT